TGGAGCGCGAGAACGAAGACGATATTTCAACTTATGTATTGACAAGCTGAGCTTGCTAAGTCTCCGTCAATTGGTAGTGGTGGTTAATTCCAGCGACACAGAGTTCTAAGTTTAAACTATTTCGTAATTGGAGAAAGAAAACTAAACAGACCGTTAACCGCCGCAGATCAGCATAATGCCTTTGCGTAGGATTTTTAGCATAACCGTCATCCAAGGGCTCCCCAGTGAGCAGTCTATCACGTTTCCGTTAATTCGATTTGTGGAGCCTAAGGAACGCAAGGAATCCCAGCTTGTCAACCACAGTTAGCTTTCTGAAGAGGAAGGTGGGAAAGCCCAGAGACTAATCCTGATTTAGTGCTGCTGAATTAATAAGTCTTGTCGGGTATAAAACTCACGGCCACTTGTGGCTACTGAAGCAGTCAGAACTCGAGAGGAACGGAGACTTGAGGCCCTGTGAAAGGTTGTTATTGTGCGCGTTGCAGAATTTTAAGGTACCACAAGACTCGTCAGTTAAGCTGTCTTTGGTACACAGAGACCCATTCTGAGGCTCATCAAACCAAGGGATGTCTTTCAGAACACCACCATGAACCAGCAGGCATTCCTGATGGCTGTCGAATAAAGCATTTTGGGAAATCTTTGCCTGCCTAGATCTGTACATTTCACAGACCTTCTCCCCACCTCCCGTAGGGACTTGGAACGTAACTGTCTCCAGTAAATCCCAATCTGACTCTATATTAGGGTCGCCAAAGAGCCGGAGGGCACGCACAGCCAACTTGTATCTGCCTGTTGGGATATAGTCTCCCGATGCTAGTCGGCCATTCCATGTCTCATATATTCCTTCAGTATGAGAGAACATTTCAAGAGTAAAAGCTGTGAGATTCCTGTCTTGTAAACGATCTGCCAACCACTTACGTGGTGAAACTGGCACGACCTCAGCTCGTACAAGACGAGTTCCAAGACTCGGCCTAATACGCACTTGTGCAACGAGGCCCCAGGAGTTATCATCAGTAATTCTGTATCTGATAAGACCCCCATCCTGGAGGTCTTTGTCTTCTGCCTCGTACCAGGGATTATAGTGTTCAAGAAGTGATACCCCTCCGGAAACTATAATTGGTTGGTCCTTTAAAGAGCCGGATAGACCCAGGTATGGAATTGTCAATAAACCACTGTTGGAGCTATTGATAGCGATCCAACCGGACCACACAGGCAGACGGCCGGGATCAAGGCCGATAGGGTCCGTAACCGAGATATTCACGGATGCCGATCTGCCAGGGCCGAGGACGAGATCGCGCTGGCTAATCTCAATCACGGCTGATTCATGGACAGGGGGACTCTGTCCCACAGAAGGGCGGGAGGAGACAAAGGTGTACAGTGTGTCCGCCGTCAGGGCATCGAGACGGTAGGTAACATCCTCCTTGGCAGTATTAGTGATGTGAAGAGTAAGAAACTGCGCGCGATGGAGGGTATCATTAAAAGCGAGACTGGCAGGCTTGACGAGTGTTGTGGCGTGAGCAGCGTCCCAGGCTCTGACAAGACCGCCGCCTTGTTCAGCAACTGAGGCGGGCGCTCCCTGAGGCGCTCCCTGAGGCACAGCTGTGGACGTGAGGAGGCTATTAAGAAGTACTGGGTCAAAGGAGCCCCGTACCTCAGCCATAAGGGCCATGATGCCACCGACAAAGGGGCCAGAGTAGGAGGTCCCAGATACCTCTTTATAGCCACCATGGAGCGAAGCAACTGTAACATTTACAGCAGAGGCGCCAACTGTGGGCTTTATGTCGAGGTCCCAGTTTGGGCCGTAGCTGGAAAATCGAGCCATGGGGGTATCCTTAATAATGTCGCCATCGACAGAATCTGGAGCCCAGGAAAATCCGCTGACAGTCGTCACACCCTTGCCGCTGGATGGACTTGCCACGGAAAAGAGGCCTGCCTGTCTATCGTTGCCGACGCCGACTATACATGGCACGCCACTGTCAACGATGCGCGAGACAACAGCTGCTGCCGGATGCATAGCCCAGCTAGTACCCTGCGAGAGAAGCGTAGAAGAGACTACAATCTGCGCGCCATCTTCATGCGCCTTAATCCAGGCGGCTATAACGTCGTCCACTTTCATTTCACCGTCGCAATCCGCAACCCTATACGCTGCCAGGGTTACATTAGGAGCCGCGCCGACGAAATTGGCATCATCTCGGCAAGTATACTGGCTACACGGGTGCCGTGGCCTTGGCAATCCATAGGGTCGTTCTTGTCGCCGTCCTGGGAGAAGTTCTCACCAAGGGCCACTCGGCAGCCTTTGCCAAAACAGCCGCCGAGAGCCGGATGCGTATAGTCAATCTAACAAGTTCGTGAGTTGGATTTGTCTTGCTTTCTAAATTGTAAAGACAACTTACACCAGTATCAATAACAGCAACTCTAATACCACTACCTGTGAATCCCTCTGCGTGTAGCTTATCTACCTGCGTCATAACGTGGTTCCACGGCGCAGAGTTGCCGCGGCGCTGATACGCAGCAGGATGTTCCGTCTGTATTTCTACCGGCTGCCTCGTTACCTCCACTGGCCAGACTCTGACAACGCCCGGCATCTGCTCCATCAGCTCCATCCCATGTTCGGCCATCGTGGTGTTCGGCAGCTGCACCGATAAGCCATAAAAGACACTGGAATTGAACTGACGGCGGATTGTGCCACCCTGGTCTTGGACAGCCTTGACGAGCAAAGCGAGATTTCGGCTGCTCTCGCACTCGAGGATAGAAGCCCCAGTGATGTAGTCACTGGGAACGGGTTTGGAATCTATGGTAGCTGCCCCGGCGAGCGAAGCAGCCGCCGTCGCAAGCCTGGCAAGGGTCAACGCTGAGAAGTGAACCATGCTGTCGGAGAAGAGGTTGTGAGAACTTGAGAAATAAGTACTGTGATGTGCTGTGGGTGACTTTGTCTTGATGAGAGGGCTCGTCATGGCCTCTTATCTGTATTCGGTATCCGCTAATTGACTGTACTAACAAGTTGCTACCCCTGGTAAGCAATGTCACTTAGCCAAGGGTATATATGCCAATAGTCATGGTTCTCTACTCAGTCAAATAGAGTCAAACCCACAAGTGGCTTGGCTTTTTTAGAATCATTGAAATTCATAATGCTGTGTATAGCCTTTAATGTGGCACGGGCTATAATGCGCATAACAGTGAGCTCCACCCTTCTTAGCTACATTATACGCTAATGCCGGCGCCGAGTGGGATGGCCTTCGACGCTCACTTGGCTAAACAATATGACTTGTGGGTGGTGCCGATTTGGCATCAAAAAACGGATTAATACGTAGGGAGACCGTATCAAATTACCAGTCCGCTCGTGGAGCCGGGTAATTCGCCATATAATCTAAATTTTAGGTCTGCAGAAGCAAAGCACAGCGGGCTATATTGCAAAGTGCCTCAACATCGCATTCATGCCACTGAACTTCCATACCAGCCAACCGATCAAGTGACAAGCGTAATGCATTGAAACGCAGCCGCCCCCTCACCCATGGTGGCTTCTTTGCTTGCCAGCATAGGTCACACCACCCCGTACATTTAGAACACAAGCCGCGGAAGTCACCACCGTGGCCAATCTTGTAGAAGGCCGATGTATGACGCACTAGTATCTGAAATGGTTAAGATGAAAACTTAAGTCGCAAATTCGGAGCTAGCATCACAGCATGAGCTTTACGCGCCAATTTCCTTTGTTGGCATCTTATCTCATCTCCTACTAATGTAGACGTTACTGCTTGACATACATAGAGCTATCCACTGGTGTTATTGGGACGACCATATGTGACATATAAAGATGAGACATTGTGGCATCTTTATTCGGAGGCAAATTATGGAAGAATACGTGTATGTGCTGAAGCGGCATATGCGCCTGGAGCCGCATCTACTGCGGGCAGTTTGAATCCACATCGAAGATAGCTAGGAAGCAGAGACTTGACAACTTAGTAATATTAGAACCTCTGTATATATTGTCGCAGAGGGTTGTCGGCGGCATCTACGCAGGGGTTGGATAGACTGGGTATGAAAGACAGCTCGGATTGCTGACCATTTTTCATACTTTGGTGGTCGGAAGGCGGAACCAAAAAGTGGGGGCATGGCACGAGTAGTGTAAACTCCTGATTCTCTTACTTGTAAGCATAACGAGAATGCCAAGACTGTCAACGGAGCAGTTACTAATCATAGACAGCTTTTACTTTGTTGGCTAGGAGAAGCTCTGCATGTACGTGACGCGTTCAGCGGGGCTTACTACGCGGAGGTATAATCACTATTGAAGAGACCAATAGGCAATACTGTACCAACCTCAATTCAATTTAGTTCAATTCTAGGAGGTAGCTCCACGTTAAGGGTATAGCAAGGAGGCTATATAGACTAAAAGGACATATTCTGAATTGGACTATCAAATTTCTCAAATATGGTGCTCCTACATGACTACATATGCTTTTTTTACATTAAGGGACTAAACTTATGCCCATATGTCAGCTAGATGAGAGTAAGTATGATGCCCATAAATTAGCTAGGCATTGAAGATAGGACAATACATAAATGAGTGACTTTGAAACCCCTGAACCTGCCTGTGAATGCCACTGTGTCTGGAGCATCCTTCCCACGAACTTTGCTGATATAACTCGCAGCAGCAGAACGTCGTCCTCTTGGATCAGAAGCCTGGAATGTTCTGTACCACCTTGCAGACAACATGTCACTGTCCGGAAGGAGTGGCCGCATTCGAAGACAGTGGACCATAAGACTTCTAGCTCGTATCCGGGCAGATAGATTGCGTTTCAAGAACAAACAGAGTCCATCCAATGTGTTGACCCGTAGAGGACTAGTTCACTTGGCCAGCGAGAGCGGCTGCGGAACCTGTTCCATAGTCCTGGCCTGCCGGTAGCGTTGCTATAATCACGTTGTGGCCGCCCATCACACCGGCACGCAACACATAGTCATCACCCCGGCAAACAGGGAACCGACCTTGTGTCGCTCGTCGAGTATGAGTACGGCAGCGCGGGCCTCGATTGCCAGAGGTGCGATCCAGGCAATCGTATAGTGGGAAGGATCCAAGTTCACCATGATTGTGTCCCTTTACTGTTTATCTGATGATCTGCTAGACTAAACAAAATCTAGATCGTGGTCTCTTCAGCCACCGCTGAGATTGTGCTTGGCCTAAGGTGCGAGGCAACGTGAGCACACCATCCGTAGCCACGATTCAAAGTCGAAGGAGCGGAGACTCTCGCAGAGGACCAGCTGCGACATTTAATGGATCGTGCTCGTGATCACGATTGCTTGTGGTCGACTCTCAGGCCTGGCTACTTTGCTTTACTCATTTTGCAGATGAACTGTAACAGTCCAGAAACCCGATTACACTAGTACGAACTCTAACCTCAACCTTATCATTGTATGCATACGCTTTCGATGATGCACTGAAATAGTCAATTGGGAGAAACTTTGTGTTCGATTGTTTCTGACAGAATAGAATGCCCTTCGGGTGTCCAAATGCGCCTCGGTAAATTGCTGCCAGAATGTCACATTGAGGCCCTTAATAACACCTCCCCCCCCTCGATCGCCTCCCAGCACAATGAATCTATAAGCGAATAATCCGATAGCATCTGTCTATCCGCTAAATATTGAAGTTGCAGATATACTTTTTCTCAAGTCGGCAGCAGCTGTTACAAGAGTCGATGGAATAGCGGCAGTTTCTAGTATTATAGATCAGTACTAGGCTTAGGCCTCGTTACTTGGAAGGACTCACTAGGCTGGCGTTGCTGTTGCTTGTGACTGACAGCCGCCGAATTCATTGCAGAATTGGCGCTTTTCTAGATTTGTTTGCTGCTCCTCGCCCATTGGGCTTGCGAATCCCGTCACTGCGAGAAGGTGAATGATGATGTACGGGAATTTCATGGTAGCAAAACGTATTCAAGAAGCAATTAATAGAGATGTAAACTCAACACGCTTCAACTACTCAGGTCGGATTTATGTGCGTTTTATATTCCATAACGTGCTTACTCGACCGAGGTTAGGCTGGTCTCACTATTCGAGTAGCCTATACGTGCAAGGACTGCATTACACAATAAGAACCAGCTATTATATCAAGAATACACAAAATTAATAACTACGCTTCGGACCAAATGGCAAGATCATACGATTATAGCCTACCGTATAGCCATGCCGTACGTCAATACTAAAACGTGCTCTGAAGTACATCGGCCCGATTGCCAAATCAAGGCTTGAATACTTCGCATTTTTCACTATTTCAGCGTCGTTCCCTTCTCCACACCCGTGGCATCATATAAGTCTTGCCATGAAACGGCGTACAATATGAGGACCGCCGGCATGAGCTCGGCTGCAGTCAGATGAGGGTCAAAAGCCCCTCCACTGGCAAAAATCCTACTCGTACCACGCCCCACCGTTTCGGGTCGCGGCTGAGCTGCACCCTTAAAGAGGGTCACGACCACGGTCGGTTGTTGAGCGACCATCCCGCTACGCCACTCTCGCCAACATTTGGGACTAGCGGACCGGCCTCTTCCTACTACCCAACGCCTGTACGTTCACGCCTAGTTCACGCCTAGTTCGCGTCCATCTGCATCTTACGCCCGCCGCCTGTCCCCCCGCACACTGCATTTCTTCTGTTCGTCCAGTTCCCGAAAGTAACCGTGCGAAAAGATTGAGAGCCACATACATGAATGATGACGCCTACAATACTTTGTGGAGAGTCGTTGCCATGTTCAAGCAGGTGTCCGCGTCTCCTACCATCTGTAATGTGCCATCTGGCCTATCTTGGCCAGAACTTCTCACGATACGATGCAAGCACGACAACTCGAAATCAAGGAAGGAAAATTCGATTCAAATACTTGTGTGCGCCGGTCGACACATGAATATTGGGCAAGATCACGCTACTTAGTGAACGGCAGTCAGGTGTGAGACTCTTCGTTGAACAGAGGAATGCAAGAGTATCACCACTGTGCAGTTGAAGATAGCAACCAGGGTTAAAAGTTAAAACCATTCGACTTGGATAGAAACACGCCATCATTATTTCGCACCAGAGTATCCTTGTAGGCGTTTTACCTGCAATGCCCAAGGTAATCTTGCTACAAACCCTACTGGCTGGAAGCCACCAGGCGTGATACAACAATGAATGAATTTTGCCAGAGACTGAGGACCAGCCAGCGGTGTATTTCATCGGGATAGGGGCGCGTGATTCCGCATGCTATCATGCAGCAGCACCGGCTCCACATTACGCGCGTGTTCCTGGTGCCCTCAATTATTAAACTATATGTAAGGCTGTCGTCGATGTATTTACCTGATTGTCAAACAATAGCTGCTGATATTACTCAAACGGGCGTCTTGTGGGGTGCACAGCAACTGGGTGGAGGAAGAATATGACATCAGTATCTGTATACTGGTGCTTACGAACCTTCGGCTTACCCGAACCTAAGGTTTCAGTAATCCTGGTCTTTGACTATCCTAGATGTTGAATCTGAAACGGGAGAACAAAACTAGGCTACATGTTAAATGCAAATACATCGGCACGACAACGGGAACATAAACCCTTCCTTTGCCCCGTTTCCCTCCCATAGTTGACACAACGTCCGATATTGTAGCTCGGACTGAACGCTTGGGGAAAAGATCCTTTTCCCATCCTCAGCTACACAACTTGACTTGTTAAAAGTATCCAAGTAGCCTCGGCAGCTCAGTGCACGGCCGACTAGAACTTTGTATCCATGCACTTGGTAATTGTCTCCCAATTAGCATCCGGAGATCCCTGTGCCTCAAACACGCACTGCGCAACCTGGATGTGGCATTCATCTCTATCCATGCCATATTTCCCTTTGCCGTCCGGGCCCGTGGCGCAAAGCTCAGCCTCCATCGCCCAGGGGTTAGGTTTGCCGGTCGATGGGGTTTGCGCAGGAAGAGACGCAACAGGCTCCGATGGCGACTCTGGTGTTTTCAAAGAGCTAAGAGGGAACGTGCCATCCCAACCAACTGCAGCGCCATTCTTTTGCATGAACTCAGTGGCGTATTCCTCTAGTGTCTTGTCGTTGTACTTGTCCAAATTGTCAGGGTCTCCAGCAAGCTGCGGCTGTCCGGGGCTTGCGGCCAGCGAGTCATAATTCTGGTTATAGTCAGGATTGACCGTCCACTTCTTTTCAGGATTTTTGGCAGAGAATGTCTCAAAATCGTGAAACTCGTAAACATGTGCCATCGTCAACTTCTCTTTCAGGTCGCTCTTGGACAGGGGCATCCACGCTTCAATCTGGTCGTAGTGAATACCGCCCAGGGCAGAAAACTCTTCTTCGGACGTGAACTGGAGCTTGAAGCCCGAGCCATTCAAGTCAATCATATTTGGCGTAGGTTGAATCTTGTAGATCCAGCCATCATCCTGCCCCTTCAAGCTGTAGCCGAGAGCTACGCCGAACGATCTCGACGTGGAAGTATATACAGTACGACTGTATCCCAGATGATGTAACCGCAGGCCAAAGGTTTCATTGATAATTGGTCCTCCCTCTTCCCGAGGGATGAAGCCACCACGCGCCTTGACATCCTCGGGGGAACTGCCACTGCCCCGATAGAGTACGCTCGGAAGTGCCTCTTGTCGCTTTTGTAAAGAAATGTAGTCCTCTAGCCCAGAAAGATTGCCTTCCGGTATATCGAACCGAAATAGCTTTGTTTCATATTTTGTCTCAAGCGCCAAGTTGTTCTTTGGTACTGTCATAGTAGCACAGTGAGCTGGAATGACGACGTAAGCGAGTGCCGCCGCAGCCCAAGACCATGCCTTGATCATATTGTCTGATTGCTTCAAGAAAAATATGGAGGGACTGTATTTTATTAAAAAGAATGGCTGGGAATCGAAATACTGCAGGATATTGCTGTATCTGTTCAATTTCGACTGGAAAATGGAAGCTCGAGAGTTTTTATAGCAAGCATATTCAGATTTCTATTATCTAAAAAGCACCCCTGGAAGGCAATGGCATTTGAAATTTATTGAACAAGCGATATCCATATGAAAAATGAAAGGATACTATAGTGGACTGTACATTCAATAATGACTCTTAACCTTCTTGTTCGATATCCAGTACGAAGAAAGCAAGGGTTAAAGTATAGCCTCTGAAGATTGTGGAGCTGACGCTTGAATATGGACGGTAATGCACGAGAATCAAGACAAGGGTTGGTTTCAAGGATTACTTTTCCATTAACGGTTAGGCGCTCATAGATACGGGCAGAACAAGGTGCTGTGCAGGCTTGACAATCGATTCGGCGCTTTTGAAAAGGTTAAAGCCGTGGCAGCTACATTTGCAGTCATGACCAGTGATCGGAATGGTCTGGTCTGTCATGGTCTTGGTCTGGTCTAGACCGCCAAAATTTGGTTTGATCTGACCGTTTCTCCAGACCATGGTCTAACCGGTCTTCGTGGTCCTTCATGGTATGCCATAAATAGATCAAGTTAGAGAGGTTGGTGTCGCCGGGCGGCTTGCTTTTGTACAACACGGCTAGAACTCGTAGATTTTGCTTTTTTGCTCCGGTTTTCATCTTCAGTGAAAAGGGGCCAGCGGGGGGCAAGCGTAGCGGACAACGCCAGGATACTTCTTCTTGTTGTTATTAGGTCTGTAACTCGAAACCTGCTGTCCCAATCATGTACAATGTCGACGCCTACGCCTCTTACTCCATCTCCTGCACCTAGCCCCTCACCCGCGCGTACATCACCTGCCTCAGCACCATCACTCACCCCCGCCACTTCTACTCCAGTTCAATACCATGAACCTCCGGACGAGATCATTCAGGGCCGTATTACGTACGTAAGACGAGCTGCCATGGCAAACAAGAGGTATCGTCTTAGTTCATCACACATCTGGATATACAGTGTCCAGTACAAGACGTGTATTACTGCCATGCCCAGTGGTCCACTCGTTTTTTATTAACATCTTGCCGGAACTCCGATCGAATTTGGCGCAGCAGTTCCGCTCGACGTCTCCACACGGAGACAGTCTTTGATGAGGTAAAGAAAATAGGTCGGAAAAAGTATTTATCCGTCGCTTAACTCCGATCGCCGCGGAGAGAGTTCGTGCTAGCCCGGTTCAAACCCGGACTTCCGCTGTCAAGTCCGGAGCGACAAACTCGTCCGTGGCCCTGGCCGGCCTAAACGCCTGAAAGTGAATAAAAGCCGTTTTTGAGTCATAACGATAAGTAGGAAATGACGTAGTCATAAAGCCACTATCAAATATGACGGGTAAGCCGCTTGAGCGGCGGCTGTGCCGCCAAGCTTCTAGAACCTTCCCTTAATCGAAGCTATAAAAGTGATATTTTACTCTTATAAAGCTAATTGACTTTCTTTCCTCTTCATCTCAATAGGATATAGTATAGGAACTAGATAGTTAAATCAACTTACTATTGGCCTTTCACGTTAAACGTGTGATCCGCACGGGACTAAAAGAGGGTTAGGGCGTGTAACCGACCTATGGCTGATATCTACATTGCATTGTCATAACACGGGAATGGTTGTTTTGTATTGGTACGCTATGATGGTTGCGCATATTGTATCGTATGTACGGCCGTATATTGTCATATTGCCATGTCAATACCAAGACTGGCTACTCGCAGGCAGCCCATTGCCGCCAGCAACTACACGGACCGACGATTTTTGCTCCGCCTTAAAGAGGGCTCCAGCTTCTTCGAGATCTGCGAGAAGCTTACGCTTAGTGCCAATGCACCACACATTTGAAAAAGTTACAGACAGGCCTAGTCCACTGATGAGCAGCCCAACTCTTGCTTGGATTGCTATTCAGCGTGTGTACTCACACTATTTGATGTGTTGAGGAGACTGATGTACTAGTTGTATGTAATAGTTGTTCCTGTGCTCACACGACCATGAAACCATCCTTTGTCTCGCCCGCGTGCACTTTTAGCCCTTTGGGCAATTTGCAACGTGCTCAATTCCTAGAATCGTACCACTGCCATCAAGTAAGCATGCCAGATTGAACTTATCACCACAGTGTCACGACTGCCTATCATGAGACCCGTGATGATAGTACGTCTAGGGTTCGGCTGCTCCGCAACGCAGCACCCAGGAGCCCGAGCGCGCGATGCACGGTGCGCACGCGAGGTCGCTGCCGGTCTCCCGCACCTTACGCTCTAGATAAACGATGCCCGCAGCAACCTTATCCCACTCAGGAGGCTGAAACGCCAACAAGCTCGCCTGGTCCCAGCAAGTCTCGACCGGCTCCATAGTCATCCTTCCCTCTGTATCAAACAGGCGAAGATGGGGGCTGCCATCGATTAGCAGCAGCGCCTGGGTCACGTCGGCTCTGTCTTCTGGAATAAAAGACGCTTCCATCTGTAGCAACTCGAGAAACACCGGCGGCTTGTCGTGGTTGATCATCACCCTAGAGGTATCATCTTCCACTTCAACGATGTTATAGGCAGACATGTGAGCCAGGTACAGAGAGGCGATCTCACTCGTTTCCATTTGGTTTGTAGCTGGGCCGAATGCACCTTTTTCGATGAACTCTTCGACCATAGTCTGGTCGAAGTCTCCGATATCTTGGTTGTTGAGCGTTCGAGCGCGAGCCACCTCTCCCATTAGAACTAGTCCCGCGTTGGCATCGACCATGCTCTCCAGGCTCTCGGCAAATTTGCTACAGGACCTCAACACCTTGGTTTCTAAGTTTTTATCTGAGGGGGGGTCCACCTCAACCGCCTCGCATACTTCTGAAACCTGATTTAGACCGTCAACCGCCTGCTGCTGCTTCTGCTCCTCTGTAGGCGCGTTTTTACGGCGCTGGCATGCCTTGTCAACGGCGTCTGGCTGTCTTGGGTTATCGCTTCTAAAAAGGCAAATCAGCCATAGCTTGAGCTCGTTGCCGTTGATCTCGGGTACATTCTTTCCTCCAATGGCTTCCTGAAGATCTGCCATCGCCCCATCAAACCACGCTACGGCCTTGCCAACTGGGTTGTCCCAATTCTTGACCGCTGCCAGGATATCATGAGCATAAGGCGAAAGGGTCGTAAACGCGACCATGGCTCCGCTTCGTCCGTTAAGGCGGAGTTTCGGGTACTTGGTCGTCTTCTTGGTCATGGTTGTGCCGGCTGGGCAGCGCATGGCGCGCTTCCTCATGCATGACTTGCGACGCGAGTAGATTCGCCCTTGCTTCTTGCGAGGCCCGAGGGGGTTGCCTGGTGTTCCAGGCACGCCGACCTGCTTCGGGGGACGGGGCCGATTTAGCTCAGACATACCACCAGGCATGTTGCGCAATGGAGCGTTAGGGTTTCCGTTGAGAGCGTTGACGCTGCCCGCCAAGCCCCAGGTCTGTAACCCATTTTGGACCAGATCGAGAAGCTCGCGGGCTGATTTTGAGCCAGGCTCCGGAGGCCGCCGGGCTTGCATGGCAGCCGGATCTGCAATGGCTGTGCCAGCCACGACAAGGAGAGTAGCCAAGGCGATCTTCATGTTGAGCAAGTGCTGAATGAGAAATCAAATCCGGTTAAGAGAAATAAGGTTTCTAAATAGAGTGTAGTCGACAGTCTATAAAGCTGAATAATTTGTTTATGAGGCAAAAGATAAGGTGTACTATTAGATCTATATATACCTTTGTGGAATGACGCTGGTTTGTATTTAGTGGTTAAATTGGAGCCTGAATATTCTTCTGTTGAATAATTTTATTTACACAATAGCCATTTGCTTGACGTTAGGCCTTGGTACTTAGAATTTGCAGGCTAACACACATTCAGATAAGTGTCTTTTCAATCTTATTTTCGTCAAAATCAAGTATTTATTTTAATGTTATTCGAAAAAAATTTCTATCGAAAAGAATGATATATCTGAAATTAGAAAAACCTTCCCGTATTCAGTGGAGCTCTAAATTCTTAGTACTAAGGCCGTGCGTTGAGCAAAAAACTCTCGTGCAACTAGCACTACTCTATTTAATATAATGCTGCCATTTTTTTTCCGGTACTCGTCGCAATATTAAGCCGGCAATTTCGGGTTTCGCTCTTGAATTATTAATCTCTGCATTTTGAAGCTCAGTCGCGCACCTGTTGGCAGCTGCTTGCCAGACTACACACTTTATGCTTCTTACCCAGTAACTCTTGAAAACTGCTGAACCTCAAGCATTTAGCCATCGCGGACCGCGCTAGGGCTAAGATGGTTGATCTGAATATACCATACTGCACTTGCCACCCAATACCTTGCCACCCGATACATTGCCTCCCCATACATTGCCTCACAACTTGCTGTTGTAACAGCATATCAGCGTATCCAAGGTTTGTATACAAGCAGCAAATGAAGATGTATGTTCATTATGTAACTATTCCCGCACAGCTCTGCTGTCATATTCTGAGATAAGCCGAAACAAATACATGACAACTTTCATGTAGTTCAGGTTAAAACAAACATACTTTAAGAGCTGTTACATATCACGACTAGACTCCTACCTTGACTTAGTTAGGTGCCATCTCGACACACATGTCAGATTTCAGTTTCATGTATATTGAATGTAGCCGGACCTTGTATTTATTCAGAAGCCGGTCGCTTTCAATAAACACTGAATCAAGACTGGAAAACCTCAACAACCGAACCATCCACACAGACGGGGCGCTTTTGACAGGCTCATGGCGACCAAAAATGAAATGATAGGGTTCCAAGGGCTTCTTCTGGCCAGTGAAATGCAACCAGAAAGGCGGCAAGATATAAGGCAGAGTGATATATAGCATGGACAGCCAATCAGCAAAGTGTCCAATAAGATTTGCGATATGGTGATACATATTACCATATATTGATACGACCATAACATATGATATTATGGCCGTGTCATATCACATTACCTCGTATGATCGCCGCGTCATATTGTAACCAAAGTTTTGAAGGTCATATCATATATGAGAAGGGCAGGTCCGCCGCCATACCATCTGGGTCGCATATGATATGACCACAATATATGGTAATACAACCGACCATTACTATTCATGTGGCCCTATTGATACGTAAGAACTATAGTGTGCAAAGCGAAATAGAAAAGGAGTCGCTACTTCCGAGGTCAAACTAATCTCGCTTAGCAGGGGTCCGTGGCCAGCAGCCGACTCTGTTAACCTCAAGAGAAAACCAGCATGAAGTGTTGTAACTAAAATAATACGTGACACCATGCACAGGGGGGAGAGCAGTGGTGCAAGGCGTACAATCAGCCGAAGGCTGCGAGTCTATGGCCCAGAGACTCTGGGCTGTTCAAGCCCTCCAATCACCAAATGTTCAGTCTTCTACTATTGTACATTCGTCATGCGCTCTACGTTATGAAAATTCATGCGGTCGTCAAGGGTAGCATCGAGTAAAGTTACATAACCTTTATAGGGAGTGTGCGTGAGAACTTGTCGCTTTCGCAGTTGCTGATCCCTCAGTGTCTTCTGTGATGCTCTGCGACTTGTGCACTGTAATGGCGTAACACACGATCAAGGGAAATCGCGTGCGAGTGCACAGTGTCGTTCTAATCAAGAAATCTCTGTCTACAGACAGAATTGGGACAATCTTTCTGCCATCCGTGGTGGTCAAGAATGCCGGTCCAGTGTATTTGTCAAACTCAATCATGATGGCACACGGCTGGTCTCTAATCGGGTTGGCTCCAGGTGCCCAGGCCATGTCGTACACTGTACCGCGAGCGCCGTTGCAGAGGCCAACCTCTGCCACAGGTTGCGCGTTAGCATCAGACGGGCACCAATGCACACAGGAACATGCTTCGCAAGATTACCCGCCTTGTCGTCGGGGGCTGCCGCCGCGCCGGTGCCGACAGTCCTCGCCGTGATTTGGATGACAGGCCTGCCAAAGGCGGTCGAGGTGATAGTGGTTGTATTCGTTCACCCTGTCTTTCGTAGGATATACTCGCAAAGCGTGGGCAAACCTCGTAACTTCCTGGTCCGCTAGCTTCGCCTGTACGCGGCCGGACAGGAGCTCCCAAGACTCCGTGAATAATGGATGCTGTCGTAATTTTCCCAGAGCCGTGCGAAATGCCTCCTGGTCTTCGTCGCGCTGACGCTGGGCCACTTTGAGGAAGACTGTCTTGTCGAAGCGTCGATACGCGTTCCTGCACTGAATCTCCACTCCCTGCACCTTCCTGTCGTAATAGAGAGGCTTCTACAGCACAGGTGGAAGCGGAAAGAAGTCGCCCACTAGAAGAATGTTCAGCCCACCAAAGAGCTCGTCATTCCTACCCGAGAACGCTTCGCGGAGACGGTCGTCAAGCCCATGATGCACACGACGATCTGCGGATCACGCGACGCATCTACGAGAATCAGCGAGGCGAGGAGGTGCAAAGGGCCAGGGTCAGGTTCTGCCGCGTGCTAAGACGCACAAGGCAGAAATTTTGGCGCAACACTATCAACGAAGTGACTACGGCGGAAGGCGTATTCAAACTCACCAGATGGATGAAACCGAAACAGCGACTACAACCCCCGCCAATCCAGGTGGGCGACACGACTTACTCTACCGACATGGAGAAAGCTATGGCGCTACGCAAGGAGAAATTAGAGCGCCGCGACGCATCAGACGACATCACTGACGCATGGCAGCCGGCAGTCAGCCCTGCAAGAGATATCCCTTTCTCAAGGACGATCCCTACCAAAGAGATCGAAAAAGCTGTCCTACATACCGGAAACACAACACCCGGCTCGGACGGGATCACGACCAAGATGCTACAAGCAGCCTGGTCCCACATCGCCCAACCTCTCACAACACTGTAT